TAAATGACCCTGTTCTGTATAAACGGGGAGGCGAGCCCAGCCCAGCCCCGCCGCGCCGCCGAGCGATGCCGCAGCCCGAAGGGGCGCGCAGCCCCCGGGCCCAGCGCCACCCGCGCAAACTCCGCGGGGCTCCGCGCCCGCTCCGCCAGCCGCGCACGGCGGCACAGCTCCGCCTGCCCCGGGGCCGCTCGGCTTCCCCGGGGAGGAGGAGGAGGAGGCCGAAGGATCGTCCCGCTGGGGCTGGCGGCGGGCAGGGGGCGGCTGTGCCGCTGCGGGACACAGTGCCCAGCGCCCGCAGGGGTCCAGACCGACCCGGCCGGGCAGCGCTGACCCCGCGGAGAGCTGGGCAGGGCGGGGGCCCATCTGCGGAGCCGAATCCCGCACACACACTCGCTCCAGGGGTGTCCCAGCTGCCGCCCAGCGCGCTGCGAGCGCCTCTTTTTTCTCTCCGCTGTTTTCGTTCGAGGGTCGTGGCCAGTTTGGGGATAGGGTTTTTGGTTGGTTTCTTTCTATTTCTTGCTTTTAATTTTTTTTTTCTCTTGTTTTGTCAACAAGTGCCAGCTGAGGGCCCGGCCCCGGGCCAGGGAAGGCGTGACCTACCCCGCGCAGCGGCCGCGGCTCCTGCCCGCCCACCCCCGGCCCTGCCCGGCCTCCCGGAGGCTCCGGCACGGAGGAGCCGAGTCAGCAGGTCAGGATCTGCCCCGCCCTGGGGAGGGGGTCCCGGCTGTCCGGGGGAAACCGCGGGTTTTCCTGGGGGATTTTTTGGCTGGTGGGATGTGATTCTTTTTCTGTCCCCCCACCCGCCGCCCCGCTGCCTTGCGAAGTGTCGTCTTCCCCCCGCGCCCCTCCTTTACCTTTGCGGGGCGCGCTGAGCCGCAGCCGCCGGGCAGGTTTCCCTCCTGCGCCGCAGGGCTCCCTCCTCCGGGAGGGCTCGGGGGTCTCACCTGCCAAAATAACAACCGTAAAGGAGGGAGGGAGGGAGGGGAACCTTGTCCCCCCATCTTCCCCACCCCGGGTCACCGCGCCGGGATCACAATCCAGCCGCGCTGTCCCAGGAGTGGGCGCTGCTGGGGTTTCCCCCGAGAGAGCATTCGGGGAGGGAAAACGAGGACTCGCCCCCATCCTCAGCGGGCCGGGGCGGGAAGGGGCGCGGGGGCTGCGCGGGCGCGGAGGGCCCCGCTGGAGGCCGTACTCACCCGGGCGGCCCCAGGGCTGCGCCTCCTGCTCCGCGCTCGCCGCCCCGATCCATCGATTTGTTCCTGGAAAAACGCGGCGCATTCTTATAGCAGCTACGAGCAATTAATATTGCATTAACCCTATTAAAAAAAAAAAAAAAAAAAAAAAAGGAAAAGAAAGGGGGGAAACCCGCACCCCGGCAAAGCCATTTATTATTAAAGCGAGGGTAATTGGAGACCCGAGACGCGGATGTGTGCGTGTCGTGGGGCAAGGCAGGCGAACACAGGCGTGACCGTGTGGCGGGAAGGAAGGGGAGCCGAGGGTGGCTAATATTTAATTTCAGGTCTGTGGTTTTCTAATTCGAGATTAAAAGCAGTCACGTCTTTGAAGCCAGACACTTGGTGTAAATGTACAGTTAAAATATTCTATTCCACAGTCCCCAGACAGAGCTCTGCTACTCCCAGGCTTCATTAAATTTTAATTATCATCCCAGACTGGAGCAAGGAAAGAGGGGGAAGACTGTCCACCTAATTGCAATTGATAAAGGCAAAGAAGCCGAGATATTTTTCCTCGCCGTGCACGCACAGCAGTTGTTGTTTTTGTTGTTGTTGTTTTAATGCGGGCAAAGCCCGGCGAGAGCAGCGCGAGCATCTCCGCCTCTAGATCTGCTTACAAAAGATGCACGTGAAGGAAAGCCGGGAAGTGATGCTGTGGATGGGTGTTGGGGGAGAGGGGGGGCTCCTGGAGGATCTGGCGAAAGATCAACGGAAGAGACGAGGACCCTCATTAGAGCTCGTCAGCTTATTGTCTCCCAAAACAAAGCACGCTGGTGCCTCGGCCCTGCTCGGCCCGGGCAGCGGAGGGGCTGCCCTGGCACCCGGCCCGGTTCTCCCTGATCCCGGGCACCTCTGCACCCCCACACACCCCTCAGCCCCCCGGCTCTTCCGTGCCTTTTCGTTTGTTAATCATCCGCAAGTGCGGGACCGGCAGGTACTGGGAGAAGTCGGCTAATTGCCCCGGGTTTTTAATTTGGCAAACTAGAGAGCGATCTATCTCCAGGCAGTAAAAGGTAAAAAATAAAACCCACCGCGTTTGCTTTCTAGGCAGCTTCCTATTATCACATCGCCACTTAATTTTATTTCCATTCTCTCCAAGTTAAATAGAAAGCCGAGCTCACAGGGGAGCTGCCATGTGCCTACAGACTGGGGATGTCAAGCAGAGAGACTCACAGTGCAAAGTTAATTTCAATTCCCGAGGAGGATTTCACATTCTCGCTCGCTCTGACCCACAGTAATTAGCTGAGATAACTAATGATTACTTACTTATTCCTTGTAATTATCTGGATTTAATAATTCGCTGTGTAATTTATTAATTCGCCCGTAATAGCCTTTAAGTGAATGGCTCATTTAAGAGGGCGCAGCGGCGGTTCGGGGGCTGTTCGCCGCTCGCCTTCTCCTGCTCACGGTCTGGGGGCTCTGCCGCCTCCGGGGGCTGCCCAACCCTGCTCCCCTGCCCTCCCTCACCTCAGAACGAGCCCCGCGCCCGCGGAGGTTGCGCGGCAGCCCAGCCCACGGGGCAGGGGGCACTTCCCGCGTGGGGGGTCCCGGCGGGGCGCGCGGGACAGCGCCACCCCCTCCCAAAAAGTTGGGAGCCTCGGCGGGGGATGGAGGAGCAGGCGGGCCCCCTGCGCCCCGCGGGGCTGCGCCGTGACCCCGCGACAGCGAGGACAGCGACAAGGGCTGGCAGGGCCGGTGCGGGCGCCGCGGGGACACGGAGCTGAGCCCGCCGGACCGCGGGACACCAGGCTCTGCCTCCGCGCCCGCGGAGCCGCCGGCACCCTCGGCGTGCCCGGGCGGCTTTGAAGCTGCAGCTGGAGCTGGTGGCTGGGCGGAAATATGAATATTTAATCGCGTGTATGATCTCCCTCCCCCTCGCCCGCCGCCGTCGGTTTTTTTCCCCCGGCTTTTGTGAGCGCCGCGCGGGGAAATTACTTTTCCCTTTTCAGATTTGGGGGCTATTTCCGCGCCTTAGCCTGCGGGGCACCCTCGGCTCCCCCTTGCCGGGGGGGGACAGAGCATCTCGGGGGGCGGGGACAGCCCACGGCCCCGTGTCCCGCGCACGCCGGCCGCGGAGCTCTCCCTGGTGCTGCCGGCGCTGCCCCTGCCCGGAGGCGGCGCGGAGCTCGGGCAGAGGCTGGCAGTGGAAAAACAAGAAGCAGCAAACGCGCTTTGCCAATGAAACGTAAAAATTCTGTTTTCTTTTTTTTTTAATGAAAGACGATTTTAACAACATTTAAAAATAACTTATTACATTACTAGAATAAATAAACCTCCTATTAACAAAACAAAACCAACAAAATAATAAAAAAAATAAAAAACTAACAAAAACCAACGAAATCGCGTCATGTACAGAACTTAAGACTTCAAACAGTCTCGGATAGAATAGCGATACAGCGAAATCTGTAAGAATATATCTATATGTGCGTCAACGCCAATGAAATATTTACAATACATACAGGTACCCAACAGAGTACCTTCAGTTTATTGTTGTTGTTCCAAAAAGAAGTGTACCAAATCGGTTGTGAATTTACAAGCCGTGCAGCCTCGCTCGCTCGCTCCCCTTCCCTACAAATTTTAATTTGGCTTTTCTACAAACATACTTCCAAAAAGGGACTTTCCTCTGTGGAAAAGTATTGCAATTAAAGGTAATAAATAACAGAACAAATAAATAAATAAATAAATAAGCCATCGGATAATTAAATAAATAACCGAGCCGGTCTGAATACCGTCGCGATACACCTTTGAAATCGAGAAAGACGGATATTGTGCTGGCAAGAAACCCGAAGCGACAATCCCACCCCCCTCCCTCCCCACCCCCCCCAGCGCTGTCACCTACGCGGCCACGTCCTTTCTCACTTCGGGAGCAGCGTGTGGTGGGGACAATATGGGAATCCCCATTAAATATGTAACGCGGTAAACAAATACCTCGGACAGTGAATCAGGCTACACAAATAACGTAGGACATCTACTATAGGGTGCCGACGCCGTACGAATAAGAATACTCGCCAGAGAAATACTTTAGGTTCAGGTGACAATTTACAAATGGCCAAAAGGGACATTCAGAAGAAGAAAAGCTCACGTTCATAAATCCTACCAACACAAAATATTTGATTCTCACTAACAATTTTTTTTTTTACTTTTATCAAGACTTAGATTAAAGAGGTGTAATTAATTAGAATGAGCACAAAATGAAGTTGCTAGAGAGATAAATTAATAATTTACAAGGGGTTGTTTGGCAGTAATCTAATAATAGCTTTTGAAGACCAGTGAACACAGCAGGATCAGCTCTTTCCCTAAGCGTTATAACTTCAGAGAAGGAAAAGGATAATAACCACAGTAAAAATATATATATATTTATATATTTATAATACGCAGTGTAAATGCAGAAAAATCTGCCATCTGTTTTTTTTAATCATTATTATTATTATTATTATTTAAATCAAAATATTTTTAGACGTCTCTCGCGGTGCGAAGCCTCAACTCTAGATTCAAGTTTGGGTCCCGAGAAAGCCATGACATCGTGGCCACCCCGCTGCCACCCGGGCGAGGTCTGTTAGGAATAAAAACCAGCGGTACTTGCCGGGGCGGGTCCGGGCGCGGCTCCGCGGGGAAGTTCCCCCGAAAGTTGGGCGTGGGGCGGGCGGCGGGGTGGGCTGGGGTTGTTTGGGGTTGTTTTCCTCCTTTCCTTGTCGTTGTTGTCGTTGTTGATGGGATTTTCTGTCGGTGACGGTGGCGCTGATGCTGTCGGCGCGGCTCCGGGCCGGCTCAGATGCCCGCCGAGTACTTCATGCGCTTCTGCTTCTGGCGCTGGTTGCAGAACCAGACGCGGACCACGTTCTTCTTGAGGTCCAGCTTCTCGGCGATGGCGGCGATCTTCTCGGAGGAAGGCCGGGGCTGCAGGGCGAAATAGGCCTCCAGCGAGCGCTTCTCGGGGGCGGCGATGGAGGTCCGCTTGCGCTTCTTCTCCGCGCCGCTGAAGAGCTCGGGCTTGGCCAGTTTCTCGCGGTGCGACTTCTCGGCCTCCTCCAGCCACGCCTGCAGGATGGGTTTGAGGGCGATCATGTTGTTGTGGGAGAGGGTGAGGGACTCGAAGCGGCAGATGGTGCTCTGGCTGAGGGAGCCCACCCCCGGGATCTTCAGGTTGGCCAGCGCCGAGCCCACGTCGGCCTGGGTCACCCCCAGCTTGATGCGGCGCTGCTTGAAGCGCTCGGCAAAGGCCTCCAAGTCGCGGGGGTCGGCGTCCACGTCGCTCATGCAGCCCATGTGGGCCGGCAGCCCGTGGGCGTGGGCCATGCCCAGCGCCGCCGGGTGCATGGGGTTCATGCCGGCCATGTGCGGAGCGTGGCCCGGCGTGGAGACCACGGCGCCGTCGGGGGCCGCCATGGCCCCCAGCGCCAGCCCCGGCGTCAGGTGCTCCAAGAGTTCCCCCTCCAGCGCCTGGTGCGGCTGGTGGTGGTGGTGGTGGTGGTGGTGATGGTGGTGGTGGGTGCCCGACAGGGCGGACGGGTGGGAGATGGGCACGGAGGAGGAGGAGGCGGCCGAGGTGCAGGGAATGGTGTTCATGGTGTGGTACGTGGCGTCCGGCTTGAAGGGGCTGTGGTGCGGCGGGTGGTGGTGGTGGCTCTTGCTCGGGGAGACGATGTCCACCGCTGCCAGGGCTTCGGCGCGGGCCAGCAGGCTCTCGTCCAGACCGCCGAATATATTGCTCTGCAATTGCAAATAGAAGGCACACATAACGCTCAGCAGGGAATTCGCCTCCCCGCGCACTCCGCCGTGCCACTAAAACCTTCCCAGCATGTTCACGGCGGGCGGGCGGGCGGGCGGACGGACGGACGGACACACGCACCAGCCGCACGCAGCATCCCAGGTCATAAAAATTAATACGAGCGGCAAGAGCCGCCGCATGCATAAGTTGGGCGAGCGCCCGGCGGCGCCGGGTGATTTGCTGCACGGCCATGAAAAAATCATCAGGCGGATCCGGGGGGCCGCCGAGGGGCTCCCCTTAAAGCGGGGCGGCGGGCGGCGGGCACCTACCGGAGGGGCGGGCAGCACAGTGAACAGTGATAAATTTAAAAAAAAAAAAAAAATTCCCACTCTCCCCCCAGCCGGCTGCCCGAGCCCCGCCGGGGACGAGAGGGAGAGGCGGCTCCGGCGAGCCGGGGATGCGCGGGGGATGCGCGGGATGCGCGGGATGCCTCCCGCCCGCCCGCCTGCCCGCCCTCCGCCCGGGCGCTCGCCGCTGTCCGCCGCCGCCTCCGCTCCGGCGCCGGCCCTCGCCTCTCGCGAAGTGCCCTCCCCGCCGCCGCGCCGGTGGGTTTTACTCTCTCCCCTCCCTCCCCTCCCCTCTCGCCTGTCACTACAGCCCAACTCCTCGGGAAGGGCCCTCCGCGCCTGCCTCCTCGGCCCCGGCCCCCTCCTCCGCCGCTCCCTGCCCGCCCCCCGCCGCTCCCACGCCCACGCGTGCTCCCACACTCACCGCCGCGCCGCGCCCCGTCGCCTCCCGGAAAGGGGAGGGAAAAAGCCAAAAAGGAAAAAAAAAAAAAAAAAAGGAAAGGAGGGGGGAATCGACGACCCCACCGTCTCAAATCCACCTTCCATGAAAAGAAAAAATAATTTTTTAAAAGGGGGAAAAAAAGTCCCGTCCGGGCTCACCACGCACCTACAGCCAGAGTGTCCCGCCGCTGCTCCGGCAGCGCTCCGGGGGGAGGGGGATGCGCCGGGAGCTGCGCGGGGACAGCGCGGGGCAAGGCCGGGAGCGGCGGCCAGGAGCTGCCCCCGCCGGCGTCCCCCATCGGCGGGGAACCGGAGGGATCCTCCTGCAAAAGTCACCGCTATCCCGCCAATTTCCCACGCTTGTCTAATAGGAAAAGAAGAAAGGGAAAAGGGGAAAAAAAAAAAGAAAAGAGAGAGAAGAGAAATCGGGGAAAGTCAGTTTTCCTGGAGGTGGTCGGGTTTATTTCCATGAATTTCACTTTTCAGCAGAAAGGTTAAAATAAGTGCTTAGGTGTTTAATTTCTCACCTAAACAGCAGACTTGGTAATTTTAAGGGAAATAAAAAAAAAATTACATTGTATCAGCTCTCACTGTCGCCAGCTCGGAGAAATGAAATAAATCAAAGTTAAAAGCTTGAGTATCATTTAATTATGGTGTGAATAGCGCTTGGAAAGAAGTAGAACAACATCTCTAAACAAATTATGGCCGGGCCAGGAAGGAATTATTAGATTGAAATTTCATTTAGGCTCGGGAGACACGGCGCTTCAATATGTAATCTGTTATGCCTCATCTGATTTGTATGCTTAATTCAGCTTGACGAATTTATTAGTTTTCATAATAGTAAAAAAATTGAGCAGCACTATGGGCTAATGCATTGTGTGTACTATAAATTGTGTGTCACCGTTGAAAGGCTGAAGTCTATAGAAATCTTTTATTAATGACAACATAGGAAAGAGGATTTTCTTGCAAGCCTTTAAGGAGTTCATGCCAAACCTCCGCGCTTCGTGTCTCGGTAGGCTATTAACATATCGTCATACTAATTAGGCTACTTCATGAGTGATATAATTTCAAACTTTAAATTATGTTCTAATTAACAAGGGTTGTCCAATTTGCTTAATCTTCAAAAGGCTTTTGGCTTGTCTAATTAGTCTAAAGCATCGAGCATCTCCAACGCCCAAGAAAGAGCCATCAATAATATTTTGCGCGTTTTGAGGCGATCGCGGGCCGAGCCCAGGCGGGGTGCGGCCCGCCCGTGGCGGGCAGGGCTGGCGGGGCTGGCGGGGAGGCCGCTGTCCCCCGCCTCCCTGCTCGGGGTCCCCGCAGCGCGCTCGGCCGCTCCTGCCCCCGCCTCCGCCTCCCCGGCAGCGGCCGCAGCGCTGCGCGCCTCGGCGCGGGCGTGCCGGGAGGGCTGCGGGAGAACGAGGGAAAGCGCCCGCTTCCCGGGGAAGAGGGAAAAAAATTAAAAAAAAAAAAAAAAAGAAAAGAAAGAAAGAAAAAGAAAGGGAATGAGGAAAGCTGTAAGATGTCAGAGAGGAAAACATTAAAAAAAAAAAAAAAGAAAAAATAAAAAGAAAGGGAATGAGGAAAAAAGAAGAAGAGAATACCTCGTTGGCACGGGGAGGTCCGAGGGCAGCCAGCCTGCTCGGTGCGCGGAGCCGGGGAAGGGGCTCTGCCCGCCCGGCTCTCCGGCTCAACTTTGGCGGAGAGAAATGCGAGGAGGAACCCCCCCCGCGCTATACATTTAACCCCTCCCGCACTGAGTTTAATTACTCGCAATAGTTGTTCTAATGTATGCTGTCACACGGGAGAATTGAGAACGCATATCGTTAATATGAATTAATCTTGATTTTAATAGCAACTGACAACCGATCTCCAAAACGCCGAGCGCTCATCGCCGTCCCGAACGGCCGCCACCGGGACGCGGAGCGCCGCGGCCGCAAAGCTGGGCCAACTTTCCTCGGTGCCGGGCCCGGGGGTGCCCCGGGGGTCCCCGCGGTGGCTCTCCGCGCTGCAGGGACTCCTGCGGCTCTGGCCCCGCGCAGCTCCGCTGTGCCCGCTGCCGGCATCGCCTTGCCCGCGGCTCCACCGCCCAGCACCTTCCCATTCCCCCGCCTTTTCTGGGTGATTTTTTAAAAAATTTGTTTATGTTTGGGTGTTGGGTTTTTCGTGGAGCCCCCGCGCTGCCCATCCGCACCCCCCGCCCGCAGGCGGGAGGGGCGCCGGGGGGAGCCGCGGCAGCCGCGGAGGCTCCGCCGCCCCCCGGCACCTCGGCGGCCCCGCGGGCCCCGCAGCCGGCTCTGCGCGCCGCTGGGCTGCCTAAATAAAGGGAGAGCCCCCCCGCAACTTACCCACGCCCACACCCTGACCCACGCAGACATCTGGGGAGAAATCACTGTCGCCTCTCATGTATCTATGTTCTGATTTACGATTAAAATTTAAAGACACGCATTCATATTTTACCGAACCTAATGCGCCCTATGAATTTTTAATCCATTAAGATGCGGGCTACACTTTGAGCAAACTCTACCTTTGTTTTGAGGGCAGGGCAGCGCCGGTCCCAGCCCTGCCACCCGGTGTCCCACACCTCCGGGACGCTCCCCCGGGGCTCCAGGCACGGGGGGCGACCCGGCCCCGCCGCCGCGGATCCTCCGCGGCTGCGGACAGATGCACCGGCCCGGCACGCCCCGCTGGGGCATCCCCCCACGCCGGCGGTGCCTCGGCATCCCCGGCCCCTTCGGTGCCTCCCGCATCGCCGCCCGCACCGGCCCCTGCTCCCCCTCTCCCAAATTTCCTCCCCCGCTCCAAATCTGCGGCCGCGTCGCCGCCGCGAGCCGAGTCAAGTCACGAAGTCAAACTTCAAGCCCGGAACGATCAATGAAGAGTTTTGCCGTCCGTGGCGCCTCGTGCTTCCTGGCACTAAAATAAATGCAAGAAATCGAAACTTAATTACTTGAAAGAAATCCAGAAATCCCTCTGCATAATTTATCCAGGCATTTTTTCGTGGCGTTTGTGTTGAACGCACGCGTTTGACTCCGCACGCTCCCCTCGGCAGGAGCGGGGCGCCGGCCGCGCGGGGGGTGCGGACCCCCGCCTGAGGGGCGAGGAGGGAAGGGGAATCCGCGTTTGTGCCCCTCTCTTTTCCCCCATCCGAGAGCATCTCCTGGGGCAGGGTGGCAAGAGGGAACCTCTCCTCCCTGCCTCCAGGGTGTGAACCCTGAGCCAGGCACCCCGCAGATATTTTCTGACCAGGAGTGCCTGGTGTAACAAGCGGCGTCTCCTAAGCACGGTGGAAAGTGCCAATAAAGAAACTCAGCTATTCTGACAAATTCCCCCCCTGCATTTGATGGTCCTCCTGTGGATCCCATACTCCTTCTCACGGATGGGGTAAGACACCTGGAAGCTGAGGGTGGGACCCTGACTGGCGATGCAGCCGTGGCCTCCTCATTTGCCATCCAGCCCGGCTGATGAGAGCCCTGCCTGGTGAGCCTTTCGCTGAATTTATTAGGACTGAAAGTCTGCTGGCTCGGGAGCAAACTTTATCATAGACACCTCATCGAGAACTTGAAGTAATGTTATGAAAGAATGAAAAATACATTTGGGAGCTGCCTGGAAACTGAAGTACATTTTGATTTAACTTACATTAACAGAAACCTAATGTAGAAGTGAAGGGATCTAACAAAACCATTAATAATTTAAAAATAATTACAGATAGTCTATCCTTACTATTCACAACCACTCAACATTTTAGACAAAGAAAGCTGAATATTCTTCGTGGGAGAACGATGTGAGCAGACTGCTAAGCAGGAGCTGTCCAGCTTTCACTGCCTCTCCTCTGCTCACACACACTGCACATTCCCCACGGCACCCAGGACACCATTCCAAAACTGCTTTTTCAAGAGGGAGGGTGGAGGTGGAGGCAGGGCCTGTCTTTGTACAGGGTTTTTTGGCATTCATTTTGGCATATTCATTTTGGCATATTCATTTTGGATTTCAACCCCTCCTCTTTGTTGGGGCTTCTGTTTGAGGTGGGCCAAGTGTGGCAGGGGAGACCAAGAACATTTCCATACCTCAGGCTTTTCCAAGGCTCTGCAAGCCCTGGAGACTTCAGGAAAGGCCTTTTCCATCCATAGCCTTGGCTAACACCAGTGGCAGTGGTGACTCTCCTGCCCTGTGTTGTGTAGCTCGTATCGGCACAGAGATCACCTGCTTGGCTTGCCATGGTGCTGTGCAAAAGTTATTTTTGATACATTAATTTTAATTCAAGTTTCCATTGTATGCTTTATAGCTCAAGGGCCGTGAGTGTCCTGCAAGGCTGTGATTTTGCCTTGTATTTCTGATTGTTTGGGTTGGGTTTGGGGTTTTTCTTTTTGAGATATACCTGCTGTGCAAACACTGTAAAATCAGAGCAGCTCCATATGCAGCGGACTTCACTGCTCTTCCTTACAGGTTAAGATAAAATTGTAAAGGGGAAAATGAAGACATAAAGTGGCTTCTAAAGGAAAAGAAACACTGGATCATACAAAGCAGATAAATTCAGATCTAACTCTCACAGCAACACAGGACCCACCTTACAAACAGTCTCACAGGTGGGATCTCTCCCTAACCACACCCCCAGCTCCTACTTGTATTGAAAACATTAAGACCGCATGGATCATTAAAAAAAAATTCCTATAAATCACACTGTGAATGTCCTTGGGACTCTACTCTTGCTGATTTAGACAAAACCCTGGTATCTTAGATTAGCCTTCATTAATTATTTTCATTAATTCTCCTTGTTATGGATGTATTATCACAAATCATATTCCAAACACATTCCCTAATTAAGCATGAAATTCCTCTCTCCCTCCCTCCGTATGCCATTTAACTGGAGCAATGAGGACGCCTGCGTTCAGCCTGGTGCCTGGAGGCTGGTGCCAGCCACTCAATGCAACCAAAGATGGTGCTTGCATTTCAGATATCTTTCAGGGCTTGCTCTAACCTAGGGAAAATGTTGTGGTTTTTAATTTGATCACCAGCATGGGCACATCCTCAGCTCGGAGCTCTTAGCACTTGTAAATTTTCAGTGTCTTCCATCTATTTCTTCAGTGTTTTCAAGAAAAATATTACCTGCTTTTCTCCCCCTTCTGCCATGCAAGTTGTTGGATCTCTTTACAGGTCCCCAGGATTCACCAGGCAGCCTTCTCCTTCGAGCCAGAAAGAAAAAACTGTGACAGCTGATGCACATTGGAAAAGGTGATGAAAACCCTTTGTTTCTGAGCAGGCACAGTTGTGTCAGTGGGGCGGTGTTGTACCTCTGAGCCACTAAATAGTGTGTTAAAATACTTATGTAGGGAGACAGGGCCATGTATTTGGTGTGTGCCATGCCATGGACTGTGCTTTCACAGTCTCTGTAGTTTTGGTGAGGACTGGCATGGACTCATCCATGAATGTGTGGTGGAAAATGTCTGGGAATTATTCTGTTTTCTCCCTTTGATTCAATATTCACACACACAGAGCATGGTGGGACTGGAAGCTGACTGGTGGGGAAGCCCCACTAGGACCAGCATCTCCTGGAAATATCAGATGTGTGCTGGAGCATCCCTCCCTGCAAGGCCAGGCACACTGAGCTCAGACCTAGTCCTTGAAAACCAGGCTTTAATTCCCAGTAAATGAATCTGTGCATAACAGCAATGACAATGCTGGGAGGTGTCCACCTTACACGTGGGCCCACTCACTTGGCCAAGTTTTATTCAAAGCTAATCACAAATCATTTTATATTGCTTAAAATTCAGCTTAAAAATCTTTCCACCTTTTGTCCAACCTCTGGGCACACATCAAAGCCCCTTCCCTTCCCTTCCCTTCCCTTCCCTTCCCTTCCCTCACAGAGCGTGGACAGGCATCCATTCACCTGTGCTCCCTATCCCTTTTAATAAATGAAGTATTGTACGTTTTGAAGACTGTTAATAAAATGAAATCAAGTAGTGAAATACATCTGCAGCTTGCATCAACATTTCCTGTTGGAAGCAGCAGGTTAGGAGTGTGTTGTCACGTGTCTTCCCCAGTCCTAAGACAGCCATCGAATTCCAGTGAAATCTCTTACAAAGGCAATCAAGACGATCAATGGGAGTTTTGCCAGAAACATCAAAGCTTATTAAATGGTTCTGTGTTAAGAACTGCAAACACACAGACACTCAGGAAAGAAGACAGCTCAGAAAATGGTACTTATGAAGGTAAAGAAAAACTGAAGAAAGAAAAAAAATGATGCCCAGAAAAGAAAAATTGCAGGAGATTAATAATTGACAGATGTATGTACAGCCAATCCAAAGCAGAGTTTAAAATGCAGACAACTCAGTCCATAGCATGTAACACAAACTTCTGTAGAGGAATTTACTCACAAGAGCTTCTATTCACACATCCTACTTTAAATATGCTGAATTGGAGTGAATTAAATTAATGTTTAACTGCTTTACTGTTTGTTTGATGG